TATAACCTTAATAGCAATGAAGTTTGCGGACAGGTGTCAAGTCGGCTGTCACTGTCAAAGGTGAGAATGATAGCATGTCAACTGGCGTGGAAATGTCAGCGCGAGACGCGGGCAACAAGGAAAAAAAAAGAAAAAGGATCGCCATTGCAAATTTTCGGTATCTACCGCAAAGGCGGATATGGTAGCGGAAAATAGCTCAAAAAGAGAAATCTTCACAATTCCAAGTGCTATAGGTGCAGCACTAGTATTGTGGGATTATTCAGATTGGGAGATTTCCCTCTACATTAAAGGCCACCCTACACCCTAGGTGGGTAGCTTACCATTTTTTTGATGCCTTTAGCTGATGCTAGAAGAACTGTAGTGTCTGATCAATTGCTTTGAAGTGCATGTAGCTTATGCTTGACTCTTGTCCACAGGCCTCTTTCGTTTTCTTTATTCTGTTTCTTCTTCACTTCAACGTCTTTTGCTTCCTGCTGCATGTCTACATTTGATCATGTGAGGGCTGGTTGACACCACCAGGTGACCTCCAACAGGTGATTCCAGAGATTGCAGGTCAGATTAGGCTGTAGGGTTTATTTATGTAAAACTTCAGGTTCCTGGGACAGCTGGAATATAGAGCACCCGATTTGTTGTTGTAACATTATCCATTAGTTAAGATCACTGGTTTATGTTTCACCATCTAGTGCGCATTCTTACCATAGGCATATTTGCCCCTCCCCTTTCTGTAGTAACGCATCACCTTGCCCAGCAGGTTGTGTAAAAGACATACCATTTTGATGCCTTGGCGCCAAGCGTATCACTGGCGCCAAGCTTAACATAATAGACCATAAGTTGTTACTTTTGTTTTGTTGTCTCTTTTTTTATAAAATGTTGGAAACAGGAATACATTATTTATTTTGTTCTTAAGAGACCACTGTAGTACTGATTTAGTTTTCTTTAGCTAAATCTTAACAATGTTTGATAAAGACTGATTATTACATTATACACTTTTTTTTGACGCCTTGGCGCCAAGCGTATCACTGGCGTCAAGCGTAACACCCCCACCACACGTCTGCAAACCCACATTAAATTGCGATCCTTGTTAACCTTATACTCAACATGCTCTCTCCAGTTCAGTTTACAGTCCAGGATAATTCCTAGGTATGTTACTGATTGGGATAGTCAAGCCTCCTCCTAGTGAATAGAATCGGCTCGGTCTCGTATATTTATAATTTATGCAGCAAACATACGCAGGTTCGCATGTCTTTGTTTTTCATTTTGACTGAAACTACTTTTGTGAGTTTCTCTCTTCGAAAGCTATGTATTGATTATAGGATTATCTAATTAGACAGGCGATGCTGAAATGACCTAAGTATATATGTATATAGGGTACTAATGAAATTCTTTTTTATTTGAAGCACCTTCCTGCGACTTCGCACAGAGGCACGGATTCAAGAGCTCCAGTCCCACCTGAATTCGATCCACGGCTAGAGTTGGTTAATGTTATTTATCGTAGAATTGCCTATTTCATGAAATAGCTGAGTTCGGCAGTATCGTTAACTTTCCAACGATTAATGATTCTTTCAGCCACGATTGACATATTGTAAAATAAGAGTGTCCATAAGGTCAAAGAAAAGCAAAGTGCTCGAGTGCGTTTTTATCTAAGGCCATTCTCCCTCATTTAGTAACGACTTATTCGAATGTTTACTTCGCAAACCAACTTTGTTGCTAATGTCCGCCAGGTTGACTCGTTAACAAAATGGTCCCAGTGCCTCTATCTGGAATTATTTTAATTATAGGATTTGAGCAAGAATGCTTTGAACCACGAAGACTCGATAGAAGGTTAAACTGCGTAAGGGATCCGCATATTCGTATGAAGCCAATTGCCCAGGCGTATTACATAACTTGAACAGTGGCATTATGCAATTTTTTTGGACATTATGTAGGCTTTCATCACGTTATATAGAGTTTTTTACGTAATGACCTGCCTGTCGTTAAGGACGGTGTATTCTCGGATATCTATGTTAGTGGACATAGAATATGGTGTAGGGTGTCATTGCATTGAAAGATGTCAACATAACCTGCAGCAATCTTATGTGCTGCTAACAATTTTTCAAAGTCGACTTTGGTATGCATTGGTAGTCAAATTGACTCAAAACTCTGCACTAAAATCACGCGACAAACAATGGCAATGTAAACACATAGGCTTAACCTCCTATGTGTAGTCTTCGTGGATTACCATTTCGTGAAGCAGCCTCGCGTCTGGCTGATCATGTGAATAAACGAACTGTTATAAGTGATCTGGTTAATGTGACCATTTCATGAAATGCTCAATC